GAATTTAATAAAAAGGTACCCTCTGGTAATTTCTTACAGTCTGCTATTGAAAATGAACCATTTAGTTCGTTGATTTACCGACATTACCCTCTGGTAAACTAACATAGCTATGGAAAATGACCATTTTTAATGGGAAAATCCACTATCAATGGTCCATTTTCAATAGCTATGTTAAATTGCCAGAGGGTAAAGGAAATGTCATAGGTTTTGACCCATCCCCATATGGTGGTGAAAACATGGCTTCAATCACCAGGACCTCCTCTCGACGTCGAGCTCGTCGAGCCGGACGTCTCCGCAAAGACCTCCGGGTTTTGACCCATTTCTTCGGCCAAACGTGGTGTGAATGTTGGTTGAGTTTCACTGCATGAACATATTTTCGTTTTATAATGTTATATATACAATATATATATATATACCATATACCATCATATAGTGATTGACTATAGTGTAATATCTGCCATCATATAGTGATCTTGAAATGAACTAAACCAACAAACACCTATCGAACGGGGGCCCCTTTTTGTTCCAAGCATGATTGTTCCGATTTTCTCGGGCTGGGGATGGGTCAAAGATGGGCAAACTGAAGGGAAATTCATTGGATGATGGAAATTAAAGACTTTTGATATTGTGATTCCATGGTGTTTTTGTTGAACCCGCTGGTAAATTAACAGTTTGCTACGGAACATCACCATTTTTCATAGGTAAATCAACTATTTTTTTTGACCATTTCCAATAGCTACGTTAAATTACCAGAGGGTAACCAGCAAAAATGTAGGATCAAACCATTTTGTAGGGTATACAGGGCATAATGAGAATGTAATGGAGATACAAAGGGCAATATTATGGGCAATACCTTTCGGGACTCAAACATGGCTGGCGGGGAAAATCCTCAAACTACAGCTGGGGGATTCCCAGCATGGAGCTGATTACCGGCGGATAATGAGGATATTTTGGGAGATCATATGAGGATATCATGGGGATATGAAGGACTGCAGATTCTCTTCATTTACACCTTTGTTGTTTCAAATGGCCTTTTGTTTTTGTAAAAAGTGCCTTCAACATGATTGAAACCATTGATTTTTCAACTTGTTTTTGTTTTTAAGTCTTAACAGGTCTTAACCAGCTAGTTTGGCTGGGCTGTGAAAAATGTCACTCACACCCATCTGCGGGTGCCTGAAAAAATGGTGCGAAAGCACCACCATACCGTTGTTTTTGAATGTTGTTTGACACGGTTTAAAGCATCACATGTTTCACTTAAAACCATAATTTCACCCACTAAACTTCGAATTGTGAGGTAAGTTACGTTATATTTGTTGACAAGCCATCTGAGCGCCCATGGGCTTTCACTTTGGGCTATGTTCCTGCTTGTCTGGTGGAACTGATATTATTCATCATCGAAATAGAATCCCATAAATCGCAAGCTGTTCATTTAAATAGAAATCCCATAAAATTGAAGATTCCATAAATGGGATATATATAATATAAATATATATATATATATAAATGGGATTTATCAATGAACATAATATGTCAAGATTTACAACTCCATAAAAAGAGATTCGTGAGGATTGATTGAAGAGTTGGGAACATATTGTTGCTATATAGTGAAACCCATATGCTCCATGGTGCGGGTATATAAAAACTTTCAAAACTAGGCGATTTTTGGGGCCAAATGTTGGTACATATTCCAGCACCATGGTTCGCATATGGGAAACAACGTTAACATGGCAATCAGCGCAATCAGTTGTTGTTAAATACAGATTTATGTTTGGGGAGACTGTCCACCTTTGTTCTGGTTGGTGGTTGAGCCCTACCCCTCTGAAAAAATATGAGTTCGTCAATGGGAAGGATTATCCCATCTATTATGGAAAATAAAACATGTTTGAAACCACCAACCAGGTCTTCACAATGTGGTGCCCCTCAGTTATAAGTTGGTTTATAAACCCCATTAACTATAGTGATATCTACCAAAAACCATAGTTATTGGAGCTATAAACCAACTTAGCTAACTATGGGGCACCACCTTGCATGTTTGGTTCCGTGACGAAACGCTTACATTGCCATGTTGGAACTGTCCTGGCTAGGTACATGTTGGACTGGATACCAAGGAGGTGGGCTGAAATAACGCAACTGCAGCTTGATATGGTTGGTTGATTAATAGAAGGTTCCCTCCGTTCAAACCAACCTTTGTTGGCAGGGGATAAATGATGAGAATTCATACACTGTGGGGCCCCCGTTCGATAGCTAAGTTGGTTTTGTTCACTCCAATAACTATGGATTATGAATGTTTATGATACATACCCTCCGGTAAACTATCAGTTTACTATGGAAAATCACCATTGTTCATGGGTAAATCCACTATAAATGAGCATTTTCAATCGTTTTTTGTATGTTTACCAGAGTGTATAACTATACTTCATGGGCTTGTTCAACCAAGAAACCTAACTGGGAGGCCCAAAAAATTGAATAAGATGATATCTATGGAGATTGGATAGGGGCCCCATCCCATATGCGAACCATGGTGCTGGAATATAACAACCAACATTTGCTCTTGTCCAAAAATCACCCAGTTTTGTATTTTTTTTATATACCAGCACCATGGTTCGCATATGAGCATTAACTATAGTTAGCAATATATGCTATCTGGTTGGTGGTATACCTACCCCTCTGAAAAATAAGAGTTCGTCAGTTGGGATTATGAAATTCCCAACATATGGAAAGTCATAAAATTCCATGGTTCCAAACCACCAACCAGCCATTGTAGTTAGTAGATACCATCTGGTAATTTAACATAGCTATTGGCAATGGCCAATTATAGTGGATTTACCCATTGAAAATGGTGATTTTCCACAGTAAACTGTTAGTTTACCAAAGGGTAAATGGAGTTTTTCCTCTTAAAACACCAATTTATCATGTTCTATGAGATTTCCCATTGCTCATTGCTAATCTATGGAAAAATAAAACGTGTTCCAAACCACCAACCAGCCATTGTAGTTAGTAGTGATAGACCATGGCTATGGTGGTTACAAACCAATCAACGGCCGACTCAACGGCCGCGCGCCCTAACCTCCGTTGCCAACCATGAGATGCCCTGGGAGGCGAACGATTAAGGTAAACGTCACCGGAAGGAGGGCACCACTGGTGATGAAAAACTTATGGAAAAATAGGGAAAGTGAAAGTTTCACCCGTGAAATACAGGAAAAATGGTGGTTTAACCTATGAAGCCATAGGGAATCTTAACCATGAAGGTGGAAGTCAAAAGATCAAGGGGAAAGCAGCAAAATGCCCACGAAAAGCTCATTTCATATCATTGGCCCACGAAACTGACTATGTTGGGGTGTCCGAAGTGAAATCCATTTGAAAGAAACACTTACCTTAAGTTGTCCTTCCACCCTCCCACTCCATGGATTCTTCTGATTTTATACTTCGCCCCTGCAAATGTACACCAGTCATCGAGGGGTTCATATCCATGGATAGAACTCAACTATAGAAATGGGCATAGCATAGCTCAAAAATATCAACCTCGCAAAACATGTCGGATTTACATACCCTCCGGTAATCAAACATGGCAATGGGAAATCTCATAGAACATGATAAATGGGTGTTTTAAGAGGAACAATTCCCTTTATAATCTACGGTAATTATAAATGAAGGCTTTTCCATTGCCATGTTACCAGCGGGTAATCCATAGACCAATCTGGCGGGAGAACTTAATCATTGGCCACGAGAAACACGTTGAACATATCATCATGAAGCAGTGAATCACAACTCTCATGGTAAAGATCCTGCAAAGAATGGATGGAAAACGATGAATCTTTCTGAATCCAATTTCAAAGATGAGAAACAATCATTGGCAAAAACAGCATCAAAGATCATTATAGATCATTGAAGAAAATCATCCCAAATCATGGTAATCGAATCATATCACCTTCATGGTGGTGCCCCCCAGTCATGTTTGTTGCTTTATAATCCCGATGAACTAGTTCGATATAACCCCCCAAATCAACCCTAGTCATTGGACTTATAAACCAACTTTATAAACCCCATTAACTATAGTTATATCTACCAGAAACCGTAGTTACTGGACTTATTGGCACCAACTAACTTAGCTAACGAAGTGGGGCACCACCTTGTATCACCAGTATCACCCGTCAGTTCTCCATGGTTTAAACGATGCTTTCCAGGTGGAATCTTCCGACCGTTCCGGCCGCCTCAGCTTCAAAGAAATCTCCATGTGGCCATTCCACCTGAGGAAAAGAAAGACAGAATGTAAACAACATGGCTTGGCACCATTACCATGTCTACCATATGTGCCATATGTGTATTTATATATAGAGTATTATATATAATCTCTATATGTATACATATATTATTTTTATAGATATTACTGGTATAGTGTTATAGTTGTAGTTATGTAATGTGTATATATATATATAATCATACATATTAAATCATTGTGCACATATATAAACATCATGTTTGTAATGGAGGTTGAAGCACGTGGGTGAAATCTGGAAACGTCCCACACGATGTGGCTTCCCCAAGGTTATGATGTTTAGACAGATTTATCTATATCATACATCTCTAAAAGTTGGTTTATAACTCCATCCATAATCATCTATAGAGAATACTATATATATATACTATTTATATATCATAATATATCATTATATATCCGCCTCATCAGCCCCACAATTATTTTGTCGTGAACTGTTCACCAACTTATCTATCGAACGAGGGCCCCGTTCGATGCAAACACAGCATTTTGCTCGCCTCGTAGCAGCGACATTGAGTGGGTTTTCAGTGCAAGGGTCACTGGGGTGCAGTTTGGCCTTCAGTTCGGCAGTTCAGCAAAGGGATCGAGTGCACAGCACAAGCCACAGTCATTGTAGACGCATCGCATACTGCCGTGGGCACCGTAGAAATATTAAGAAATCCCAGTGTTAGCATCAAGAAATCCAAATTGTGAATCTGGTTGATATGTGGTAGCTTCAATTTCAAGCAATGCCGAGCAAGTGCTCCAAAACACTGGGATTTTCAATTTTGAATCAATTCGAACTATGTTCGCTAGTGCCGCTAGTAATCTGAAAAGTCATCAAACAGTCAGCAATGAATTCTGGCCAGTTGCAGTTCAGCATCTGACACGATCTTCCCTACATTTCAGTAGGCGACAGATCGGAGCCATCACGGCCACCTGCATGCGGCCCAAGCGCATCTAGCATTCAAAGGGCCAGGCAGCACGCGGCTTGTCCTCGCTGCCCATGAGGTTCAAGAGAGTCTCAATGTCAGCCTCCGTGTTGCCAGCCTTTGGGACGTCAACCACTGTCTTGAGCTCTTCCAACTTCTCACCTGGTGTTTTTTTGCCGAACCCCGCTGAAAAATAACAAAGATATCCCACAATCATTCTGGTTGGACTATCTGACTATCATCATCATCCCAGAAATATTCGAACATTGAACATTGAACTAAAATGGAGGTGTCCTAAAATGGGTGTACCCCTAAATCATCCATTGTAAAGAATGTTCCATTCTAATTCACCCAGCGATTGGGGTATCCCCATGACTATGGACCCCCCCAAGTAGCAAGAAAACAACATCCGACAGATTCTGAATCGGCAAATTCACTAACCTGAAATGTTCGACCATTCTGGGATGTTTTCCCAAAAATTAACCATGATTCCAGGATTCAGGAGAACCGGCAAGCCGGTCCAAGCAAAATTTGGCCAGCTGAATGCATCAAGGGACGATTGGGATCATTATTCCCAATGTATGGAAAAATAAAACATGTTCTAAACCACCAACCAGATCAAGGGACGGTTGGCTTCAATGACAGCCAAACTCTCCTTCAACGAACGGGTCGTCATATCTTCATCGAGGCGTCGAGGATGCGGCAGCCCTGAGACTGGATCGTAGCCCGGAGAATTCCACAATTTTGAAAGCTGCGTCTGAGAGGGGGGCGCCAGGTTAACATGTCATAGTTTCACATCCAAAAAATAGGGGATACCGATATCATAGATATAATTTGGCATAAACTCCAAGAAATACATGAAGGTACCAGTGAAGCTGCTTAGATATAACCCCCAATTAATCCCAATTTGTTTATCCATTTACTAACTAGTTAACTAGCGAACCATGGCCCATTTAAGTCATGTTTACCCATATATATTATGGAAAATCCCAGATATATTATTAGGATTATCCCGAGCATATTATGGAAAATAAAATTAATGTTTGAAACTTTTGAAACCACAAACCAGTGATGTTTCCCTTTCCCCAGCCCTGCCTGACTCTTGGGTGTTTTCAAGAAATGGTTGTTGGCGCACGCCGCATGCACCGCGGCACCGTAGGGCGCGATGGCCGCCGCTCCCGTGGTGATGGCGGCAATGGAACCGGCGCAAAGTGCATTGATGTCCAAGAAATCCTGAAACATGGGTGATTTATTGGTGATTTAGTGGTGGTCTAAGGCGGTTTAATGGGATTTAATGGGGGTAAACTAACATAGCTATGGAAAATCACCATATGTGAACCATGGTGCTGGAATATTTAGCTACATTTACCCCAAAAATTGCCCAAATGATCCCCATTTTTGGATTCCATAGATCCCCATAATGATTACATATATTCCAACCATTGTACTCAATGATAGAAGTGTTGGTGGTATACCTACCCCTATGGAAAAATATGAGTTCGTCAAATGGGATGATGAAATTCACAACTGAATGGAAGAATAAAACATGTTCCAAACCACCAACCAAATCATGGTCTGAGGATCTGGGATGATCCTGGGACATTTGGGCCGGATAGATCTCTGTTCAAAGACCACAGGTACAAGGGGGGTAAAGTGGATGAATATATAACGTAAAATATGATAAAATGATTCATTTATTTATCCCCCCGCTTGGCTAATTATCATGCCTCCCAGGCAGCAAAAATCGCAGCTTGCAGCTTTTGGTCCTGGCAGTGAAGCACGATGAGATTGATGAAGGTCACAACCTGACCGATGTAGGCCACAGCACCACCAATGTCGACGGTGCAAAGTGACTCTTGGAGGCCCTTGACCACGTTCAATGGTGAACGGAAGGTGCTCGCTTTGCACTTGTTCACATTCACGGCCTTGTTGATGGCAAGACCCATGTTTGCAATGTTGGCTGCCACCATGCCCACATCCACACCACACTGCACGCCGTTGCCCACAGGGCCTTCCCCGATCAGCAAACGTCGGCCATCTCGGACGGTTTGATCTCCCAGGACGCTGATCTTGGTGGTGGTCAATTGTGGCGGAGTTCCGGTACATGTGGCTGCACCCAAAGAAGCTCCAGCTGCAATCTCTCCCAGGCCTGACACCAAACCTGTGATGCCAGCAGAGCAAATGGCATCCACATTGATGCCTGGTTGGTGGTGCAATAACCATCTTGAAAAATATGAGGTCGTCGATGGGAAGGATGACATCCCATACCCATAGGATCCATGTATGCTATATATGGTAACATTTACCATCAATATACCCCAAATGTTAGCACATATACCATACATGGATCCTATGGGATATATTATGGAAAATAAAAGTCATGTTCCAAACCACCAACCAGATGCTCAGGGCACAATTGCTAGCTGCCAAGGCCAGCTTGGTTGCCAGGTTTCCCACCCAAGCCCCCAAGATGGCACCGTTCACCTGGCAAGCCAACTCAGACTCGCCATCACGAGGTGCCGGGCAAGTGCGAATGATGGCATTGATGTCATCGCCCATACCCACTGCTGAGACAAATGCCTCCAAGACGTTGAAGACACACTCTTGTTTTCCAGCGAGTTTGACCTTTTGCCCTTGCCGGAATCCTTTCACCTTTCCTGGTGGGCCAACTAAACATCTCCAGATGAAACATCAAAAAAATGTCTGAAACCATGCAAAAGAAAACATGTCAAATGATCGGTCTTATTGCCTTGTCTCAGGGTTTCGTCACAAATTTCATTGGGTTGCTGGTGATTTATTCGTTTGCTTCGTTACTCGGTCCTGAAAAACTATATATGGTTCCTGACCAAATACTAACTTGCAATGGCCATTTCAGGAACCGTATAAGGCCTATGCAAGGGCTATGTAAGGGAATATCCCCATAAAATATGGTTTGGACCCGCATTTTCGAAAACCGCATTTTTTTGTTCAAGGAAAAAATCAAACAAAATGCATTTTTTTGGTTGCGAACAATTTTCCAACACTGCATGTTTGTCGAGTCAGAAATGTGTATACAATTCAAAAGGCGTTTTTTCCGGACCATATTTTTTGACAATTTTGTGAAGGTCGGCAAACGGTGTTTTTTTCTGCGAAAAAAACATTTTTGGGCGGAAACGACAAAAAACAGTTGCTTCAAGCAAAAATAGAAATTTTGCACGCATGGAAGTTCCTGGTATATGGTATTGTAATATTGTGCTGTACCGGGTCTTGAATTTCCCATTGACTTATGTGGTGTGTCCACACTGTGGGGTTTTTACGGTAAGGGTAAAGAGCCGGGATCATATAGATCAGGCTACGCTCTCTGGGGCGCGGCATTTTTGCTGTAAATTCTCGGTAAATTTTCCCTTGTGAGATCTCCATGTGCATTTCGACTAGGCAGGCAGGCTCGCACAAAGTGTGCGGCTAAGTTGACCTTGTGCTCATTTTTCGTCGTGGCAAGCGCAATACTGTGTAGCCCTCGACTGCACGCAGCTCTTGTCACTTTGTGCGTGTTGGCTCGCTCTTGTGGCGCAGTGTGAATATTGATGTCGCTCGTGCAACCCTCTCGTCACTTTGTGCGTGTCGGCTCGCTCTCCTTGTGGTGTGGTGGGAATTTTGATGTGGCTCGCGCAACCTTCTCAGCACTTTGTGCCTGTAAAGCGGCTCTCGTTGTGACGCGGTGCAAATTTTGACATGGCCCGCGCAACCTTCTCAGCACTTTGTGCGTGTCGGATCACTCTCGTTATGGCGCGGTGCGAATGTTGACATGGCTGGCGCAACCTTCTCGGCACTTTGAGCGTGTCGGATCGCTCTCATTGTGGCACGGTCACGGTGCTGATTTTAGCTGATTCTGTTGGATCCTGGCAAAGAGATCTTATGAGTTCTAGGCAATGTCCTTCTTTGACGCTCTTGCAAGGGTTTCATGGTGCATCATATATGAAGATTTGACCAAGGTCTTGTAGAGGTCCTTGTGAGAGGGTGCTGTGCAGATCCTGATGACGTCCTGTCGGAGGTCCTTGCATGATCTTGTACAGGTCCTCATCAGAAGATCTAGTGAAGAACCTGCTGACATCATCTAAGAGCTTTTTTGCACGATCTTGCGCCGGTCCTTATGAGTAGATCTTTTGGAGATCCTGGTAAGGTCCTCTCTGCCTACCAGGTCCTTGCATGAAGATCTTGCAGATGCCATGTCTTAGTGGTGCTGGTATGACCGCTCTTCTGGGAGGCTCTTGGGAATTTATTGTATCAAAATCTTGTAAGATCTTTTCCATCAGCAGCAGGTCCTTTTATGACGATCTTGTGAGATTCTCTTAGGAGTCGTGGCATGAAGATCTTGGTCAGGGTATGTCAAAATCTTTTGCAGCTCCCTGTCAGAAGATCTTGTGGAAATCCTAGTGAAATGGTGTCAGGGGCCTTTACAGGATCTTGTGCAAGTCCTTGTGAGAAGCTCTTGAAGAGGTCCTCGTGACATCCTCTAGGGTTCCTTAAATGATCTCGTACAGGTCCTTGTGAGAAGATCTTGTGGAGATCCCATTGAAATCCTCCTCAAGAGGTCTTGCAGTGAGATCTTGAAGATGCTCTGCATTGGTGTTTGTCTTTAGAGTTCTTCTGGGTGCTCAAAGGAATCCTTGTCTGAAGATCTTGTGAGATCCTCTATATAGATCCGTAAAAAAGGTCCTGCTACTGCAGTCGCGAGGATGTTCCAACCTGATCTGTTACTGTTCCATTGCCACTGTTTCTTTTTATCTGCTGCATTGATTTCCCACTCCCCCCCACACTTTTTGGGTTCGATTGCCAGTGTATATTTTATTCTTTCTCGGACAAGTGTCGGATGGTGGTCAAAGTGTCCAACTTGCGAATGTGGTGCTTCTCCCAGTGCTCCTCGATCTTGTGACCTGCATTCACCATGGTCTTCATGATCATGTCGTCCGCCAAGGTCTGATTCTTCTTCGTGGCCTGGCAGCTGGGCACGGAACCAGTGGAGCTCACGACTGTGATATGAGAGGGTGATGAGCTGTGGAATGAAACGTGATGACGTATAACATATGAAAAAAACTGTAATTCTAAGAAATTTCTAACGGGACCTATTGAGTAGACCCCAACTGCTCAAATTTGGTGGATTTTGCTTGCTGAGATTGAAATTTCCCAGCATTTTGCATTATTTCCATGCTTCTGATTCTCCGTTTTTGTTCGCAGTATTCAAATCTCTGTAGTGACTATTTATTTCTCAAGATCACCTCTTAAAATGGGGGAAGTATATATGGTAGATCTTGGTGTATGCAAGGTACCCCCAACACCCACGGTTTGTGTGCCCCTGATTGTGTGGAAATTTGACGGGCTCTTTTTTGGTGGGTTTTAAGGGGTCTGTTCAGGGTGCCGGTTTTGGACGGTTTTGGAGGGGTCTGTTCCAGAGTATCCTTGATTTAGGTGGTGAAAAGGGAATACTCTGGAACAGACCCCTTCAAAACCGAGGTTTCCAAATTGAGGGTCTAATGGGGTCCCAAGCGGCTAGATTCTGGGTACTGGGTTTTAATAATCCCATTCTTTGGCATTCCCCTTGCCCGGAAGTAACTGGCTCTGGCCTAGCTGGCTCACTCAAGTTTAAGGTGGTGCACAACATGTGTTTGTAGGCGGGAACTAGGAATGTGGATGGGACCTTTGTGTTAGAGAGATAAGACATGTTTAAGGATATTTATCTATTTTTAAAATGTTTATATGGCAAAAAAATGATTAATTCTCTAATATATGAAAATCATGTATTTTGCACTAAGGGTCTATTCGTTAGGACCTGTTCCAATTTTCTTAGAGTAATATGAAATGTGATATATATATATATATATATGTGTGTCTGTATATATATATATATAAATATACTTACAAAATGTAAAATGAAATTTGACATACAACATTTACAAAACATGACATATATTGAACTATGACATATGAAAGAAACAGTGATTTGAAATGTGACATGAAGGCTGTGATATGAAATCAACTGCGCTATAAAAGTTCAATGCTTCGTGGCCAAATATTTCGCACCGGTTGGGATTTGTCTGGAAATTTGGTACCTCTGTACCTCTCAATTTCAATCATTCATCACCCTATTCTCCACTAAAATTGCATTTTTGGCGTTCCCCACTTCTCAGACAAACCCATAGCATACTATTGGTTGTAGCTGTATACCCAAGTATATCCCTTCCCCAATATCAGATTTATTGCTGGCTTTTTACCCGCATATGAAATCCATTGTACCCCCATTGTGCTTGAGTATGCCCCTGAATCGCCAGCATGATAAGTTAAATCACCATTTGGGGGTACCGGACGGGCCCTCCCAGTTATATATAAGTTAGTCTATGAATAACCCATCCAACCATGTGTATATATATATATATGTATCATAATATGTGTATATATATATATGTATATATATATATGTATCATAATATGTGTATATATATAATTATATATATATATATCCCCATACACCCTAGTTGGCCTAGCAGAGCAGTAAGCCAATTCAAAGCAAGGTAGAAAGCTCATTCAATTGGAACCAGCCTCACTTGCGCTCAACTTAATCTGGACATGTCTTAATGTACAAAAACAACCATTTGGGTTTTACTTTTAGGGGACATAGGGGGGACTTGGGGACCAGGGGAAGGGCATGCAGGCAGGCAACATTGCTTCATGGTTTAAAAACAACCATTTAGGGTTTACTTTTAGAGGACATGGGGGGGAGCTTGGGGACCGTGGAGGGTTAGGGGGGGACTTGGGGAACAGGAGAAGGGGGTTAGGGAGGGACATGCCATGCAGGCACGTAACATTGCTTTATGGTTGAATAACAAACAATTTAGGGTTTACTTTTAAGGGACATGGGGGGGGAACTTGGGGACCGGGGGGGGGTTAGGCGGAATTGGTGACCAGGGGAAGGGGGTTAGGGAGGGACACGTATAGAACGAAATATGGATGTAGAAAAAATGAAGCATGCACGCTGAGCAGTGGCATCATGGTTCTAGTGGCATGCTGTTTGACACTCCATGGTCCTAGTGACATGCTGTTTGACACGCCAAAACCCCGCTGTGCTGAGCAACTCGAGTGGACAGGGGCTACGCGGGCACAAGCGAGACAAATCCGCGGGCACAAGCGAGGCCGTTTCCATTCAAATCCGTACATGCCTTCCGTATAATAGTTATATTCCATTGTATCCCTGAAATATTAGCCATAAGTCGTGGCTAATCTGGGTGATAAGCACGCCGGGCCATGCCTCAATGAGCTGTTGACTCCTGGTGCGGATGGCT